GACTGCCATAGGATGTCCTCAAAATGTTTCTTTGGAATTATTCGCTTTGTTCATGCAAATAAACAACGGGCACTTACCGGGGAAGATCGAAGACGAGGTGGTTCTGTTGTTGGGGGCAGATGTTGTAAGGCAATATTAACATAATCTATGCAGGATTTCTATTTATTAATTTTATCACTAACGGGCCCGTTATTGATTAATAAACGCGCCGGACATTGTAGGCATAAAACTAAAACAAATTTGAGACTGAAGTAAACAAAAACGAATGTGACCCTTGACCTATAATAGGGGACCGTCCATTCTTCAACAGGGCAGGGGTGACACGTATTCTTCCGTGCAGCGAGCTTTCGTTGCGCGCAGCGAGGTCGCCGAGGAATCTCTTTCTGTGCAGGCGTGAGGAAGCTCGTGGCAGGCACGACGCAGGTATTAGTGCGCAGACGAGGAAGCTCTTTCTGTGCAGGCGTGAGGAAGCTCTTGGCAAACACGACGCAGGTAGTCGTGCGCAGACGAGGAAGCTCTTTGCAGACATGACGCAGGTATACGCGCAGGCGACGCAGGTGTGCGCGCAGGCGACGCAGGTGTGCGCGCAGGCGACGCAGGTGTGCGCGCAGGCGACGCAGGTGTGCGCGCAGGCGACGCAGGTTTGTCCTTGTCGGCCACGGTAGAAAGCCTATAAAAGCACGATAAAACATGTAGTAAAATCATAAGCTTCCAGAGAAGTAGCAAACGTCCCTGCTCTGCCGTTTTATTTTACAGCATATGTAGTACATCATGCGGGCTGTTGAAGCGAGCAGCTTGCGGAGGCGAATTTTACGCGATTAACCGCCGGTTGTCTCTGTTCTGGCGTGAATGTCAAAGATCATATGCTGCTCTTTTTGCTTGTTGAGCCACAACATTTGATAGTCACACACAGCCAGGTGTAGCAACTGTTATGACATTTACAGCTTCTTGCATTCTTGTACACAGGTGATAGACCCAGAAAACCTAGCCTCTACCAGGCTTCGGGAGACGGTTCAGAAAGAGTACAAATCGGTCAAATAGAGAGATAACATGCCGAGGGAGTTGGTCCGCTAGAGAGTACGTTTTGCCGTACGCGGTAGAGGCTACAGAGAACCGGCAACAGCAGAGGTTTCAATAGGCTGCCTCCGTGAAAATGAAAACCTCTGAAACAATTCTGATGCCGTTTGAGCATCAGATGTTGCTTAATGCGAAATTCAATCCCCTTGTGTATGAATACAATTGTTGTCTGATAGATGTACAACGTCTTTGTCTCGTTGATTTTGTCTGGCAGTTATAGCGATTCCGTGACACGAGGCTAGGACGAGTTGAGCAATGGCATGCTGTTAATTGTGCTTTGAACTCGTGGGAAATCCCCAGTTTTGAGGCTGTACACCAGACATAGCGTTTCCCTGCCATGCATGCTACGATAAACAGAATAATAGCTTCCCGCAAGCCGAAGCTTTGTTCTGATGCATTTCTTATCCTTCCCCGGAGCAGTTGAAATCATCATCATTATTATCTTGTCGTGCCAGTACTACAACCAGTTTAGGACAGTTCAGGACCTCTTGTCTTCCCCTGAGCAATGTCTGTAGAATTTATAACATTATATTGATTTAATTCATATTCCTTATGGAACTAAACAAACCATCAGCTGGCTACATATGTTCACAAATCTATAACTCACCTTAGAAGCGAGAAATTGAACCTGTACATAGTAATTCATACTAGTATGTTTAGTTTTAGTAAGATACTACACTGTAATTTTTACCTTCGCCAAGAAGGTTATGTTTTCAGAGGCGTTCGTGTATGTGTGTGTGTGTGTGTGTGTGTGTGTGTGTCTGTCTGTCTGTCAACACGATAACTTGAGAAGGCCTTGATGGATTGTCTTGATATTTGGTAGGTGGGTAGGTCTTGATGAGACCTCAAAATGATTAGATTTTAGACCCCCTAGCGGCTTGTTATGGTACTGCAGCTGAACTTCCGGTTTTGATATCTTATGATCTAGACATGTTATGGTGATGAAATTTGGGTGGTAGGTAGCTCTTGTGCTGGGGAAGAAGTGACGTGAGTTTGGGCCCCCTAGTGGCTTGCTCTGGAACTGCAGGGATATATTCTTGAAAATATTCAAAAGAGGATAACTCAATAACCGGTTGACGGATCGTCGTGATTTTTGGTATGTAGGTAGCTTACGTGATGCTTAATATAATTATGTGACAATTATGCAAATATGGATGTAATTTGCATAATTTATGGGGAAATTCTATAAATCAGCTGAATTCCATGATAGGACAATTGAAGCTTGTGACATTGGTAATTGACAACGAGAGAAACACAGGCAGATATTGATTATGTTAATAATGACTTTATTTGCATAATTAATGAGAAAATTTTATAATTATGTAATGATAACTGTTTGTAATTTCATACATATGGTATTTGAAAGTTAACTTGAGGTGAACATCATTAAACATAATTTATTCAAATCAGGACCTCATTTGCATAATTTATTACAAAATACTAGAATGCCTTGTTTGTTTATATAAGACTGTCTTTTGGTTGAGATTATGATAAAATGATATAATTCATGAAAATTAGGTTCCTATTTCTTAAATCAGGGGGGAATAATCTAATCTATAATTTGTCAGTCATTTGGCGAAGGTATGAGATCGGGGAACTCTAGTTACCTATGTATATGACCCGTAATTAGCTTGTAAGAGCATAAGCGTACACTAAAGGTCTTTCATTCATTCATTCATTTCCATTGGAAATACCTAAAATTTGTTGGCTTGAGATTGAATTCCTGCGACTTTGGGTGTTTTCTGACAACATTTAGTTATGTTTACCGAAGGAAAACATATAGTTGTTGCTACGTTTCCTCTTCTTCTCCAAACCAAAAGGTCAATGACCTGAACCAGACTGTCAGTTACCATGGTAACTAGTGTTGGGTTACATCATGTTGCAATTTTATAGCAGGAGGGATTTAGACTCCTGTCTGGCCATATGTATGAATGTGTTTGAGTAAGAATTAACAGAGCAGGCCATATGCGAAGGTAAACAATATGCATTTGCTTTGCAAATTTTACCTTTCTAGTATCATTTTGTATTCACAGTGCCTCTTGCACATCTAAGTTTAACCTCGTCATTACAGGGCCTGAAAGATCCAGGGATGTATCCAACGTTTACCGAATTTCGCGTCAGTAATTTAGAGTGATGCAGCTGGAAATATCCTTACATGCAAGACCCAATGCATGGTAAATCTAATTAAACTGCCGGTTCCGTTGTTCAAGTATACATCTGCAATCTCAATGAAATAGGTAGATACAATTGCGGAGCTTTTCAATGGTATTTCTGTCCAAACGTGGTAGGTAGCACAGCTCAAATGAAACCTATAACATTTATCTAGAGAAGAAGTAGCCAGTCTGTCTTAGATTGTCTGTCTAGAATGTCTTCACTGTACACCTCGGAACAAATTTAAGGCAGCTTTGGTCTAAGAAAGCAAACGTTACATGTGAATCGTTTAGATTTATTTATATCACCTCGTTGGTTAAAGTTTACCGCATAGGATGAACATGAATAAGGACATGTGCTCCCAATGCTACTTGTGGTGATTGCTGATATAATTTGCTGTTGATCCCAAATGCTGTTATTGAAAGTGTTACTCTTGAGTCTGACTTTGAGAACTTTGAGAACAGAAATGTCATATTTTTTTCTTAGGAGAGGGGGAGGGGGATAGTATATGCCATACATCCGGACGGTTATCTAACGATTATTATCATATCGCCAGGATACGTCGACCAACCAGAAGGCTCCATTTCCCATTTGTTATCAGGCCGTAACATACGCTACGCTCACTCGGTGGTTTATTATTCGGTGGTTATCCCTCTTGACCAGGGATTATCTCACAATATACACCTCGGGGCGGGGCATTAACCCTTTATCATTGTTTTCCTACGTTTCCTCGTCTTCTCCAAATCAAAAAGGTCAATGACCTGAACCAGGCTGTCTATTACCATGGTAACTAGTGTGGGTTACATCATGTTGCAATTTTATAGCAGGAGAGATTAAGACTCCTGTCTGACCATATATGTGGATGCGTTTGAGTAAGAACTGACAGAGCAGACCATATGCGAAGGTAAACATTATGCATTTGAGTTGCAAATGTTGCCTTTCTAGTTATTTTGGCATTATGTTTCTCCAGCTGAATGTGGTGGGGATTACCGCTATGTGACCAGTGGGGCAGTACTGTCGCCCAACTATCCCAGCTCATACGGCTACAACAAGAACTGTTACTACACCATCACTCAGGACCTGGGCTCAGGCATCAGACTCACCGTCAGGGACTTCTACCTGGAAAACGGCGGAGACTATCTAGAAGTAAGTGTTTCTAGATAGATTATGTAAACTCACGTTCAGTTAGAATAGAAAGTCTTTTCCCCGCTCCTGTGTGAAATCACTACTCTCCAAGCAGAGGTTTTGGGATATTTTTAGCGTGTTTTTAGGCTTTTTTCATTGGGGTTTCTTTTTTGCACTAAATTTTGTTGGGTTTGGTGGGAAAAAATTCAGTGCAAAAGAGAAACCCCGATAAAAAAGCATAAAAACACGCTAAAAATAACCCCAAAGCCAAACATCTGCTTGGAGAGTATGAAATCACGCCACTCTCGTCAGGTTGTGCTCTCGCGAGAGCTGATTTCAAAATGGCGCCAGTCTTTTGAAAGGGGTCATTTGAGTATACATGAAAACTGTTAACTATGAATGTTTTTTTTATCATAACCTTCAGGATCTTATAAGATAATCATTATCTGTTGGACTTTATCAAAATATCGGAACATCATATTTTGTCTGCTTTGGACAAAGCAAATACATGTATATGACACTTGGATTACAAGCCTAAGTTAACTAGACTGTTCAAAATGGCGATATTATTTGTCTTGGACGCATCTGTATTCGCCTTTTGTCTTCAATACGACATAGTTCAGTGGAAATAGTCTAATACATTTAATAAGTCCAAGGGAGGCTAAATAAAGTATATAGAAGAAATAGCAATAACGGAAAGGACATGTAGTCCAGAAGTTGGCATGCATCGCAACTGAGGCAATTTAACTTTAGAGATAAAACTAAAGGACAGCACTATAAATAAGTAAGGAAATCAAAATTAACTGTTTCTGTGTGTGACTAGACTTGACAAGAGAGAGGGAGAGAGTACTATGAATAATAACAAGGGTGATTCCCTAAATATTTGAAGGAAGGTAAAGCCGAATTAATGGGTACCTTATATACGATCTCTAGATACGTGATGGGCCTGATGATAGCGCTGATCTGATTGGACGTTACGATGGCACCGACCTGTCTGCTGGTGACGTCATAGAGAGCACAGGTTACACCCTGTGGCTGAAGTTCCGAGCAGACTCGTCCTACGGCTACACCGGCTTTCACATCGACTTCGAACGTAAGAATTATTATGTTTACCGAAGGAGAACATATTGTTATGTTTACCGAAGGAAAACATATTGTTTTGCAATGTTTCTTCTTCTTCTTCTCCAAGCAGTGACCTCAATGACCTGAACCAATGTTCTGTCTGTTACCATGGTAACTAGTGTTGGGCTACATCATGTTGCAATTTTATAGCAGGAGGGATTTAGACTCCTGTTACCATATATATGAATGTGTTTGAATAAGAATTAACAGAGCAGACTATATGCGAAGGTAAACATTATGATATCACAAAGATTGCCTTATTCAGAATATTTCCAGTTTTGCTGCCCTAAAATCGCATTGGAAATGCCTTTAATAGACAAAACGATACGGTGTATTGGACGGGGTTTCTGTACTATCTGCCGGATGTCAGCTAGTTGACATTGAACTCCCCACCGAGACACAGGCAGGCAATTACCTACTCCAAACGATCGCCCGTCTCGTGGTCGTCCATAATCCTGGCTGTCAGAATACTGCAACTGCTATTAGACATACGAGAAATTTGCAGTCTGTTACTCGTTTTGTATGCAAAGTACGTTCTGGGGCAAAACGTTAAAGAGAAGAGAGAACTTTATTGACACAACAAAAAGTACAGCGACTTTCGTAAGGTCTAAGACATGTAGATATACAGACAAATATACATGGGTACAACGAAAATATGCTACGTACAGAACAATAGGTGGGTCAACTAATACTACTTGTTCTAAGGTTCAAACATTCTTTGATATATAACGTTATTTACCTATTTGTACACAGTAAGGGTTATTGCCTTCTAGGACAAACTTAAATTTATCTATAGCATGAAATGTAACAAATTCTGTTGAGCAGGCGGAGAGAAGGTTGAACAGCTTTGTGCAATGCATATCAATAAATAGTTCGTGTTTAAAAAGGAGAGGCTATATAGAAGAAATAGCAATAACGGAAAGGACATGTAGTCCAGCATGCATTGCAACTGAGGCAATTTAACTTTATAGATAAAACTAAAGGACAGTGCTATAAATAAGTAAGAAAATCAAAATTAACAGTTTCTGTGTGTGCCTAGACTTGACAATAGAGAGGGGGAGAGTACTATGAATAATAACAAGGGAGATTCCCTAAATATTTCAAGGAAGCTACAGTAGGTTTTGTATGCAAAGTACGTTCTTGGGCAAAACGTTAAATGCATATCAACCACTAGTGCCTGTTTAAAAATCTGCTGTATTCGAGACCTCTCCGGTGTCACTGACGAAAGTTAGTGGATACTAGCTGAAACGTCTGGCCGTTTCTAAAATCATATCCAGTTCCTTGAGTAACTTTTTTTTGTGTTAAAATGCAGTAGTCTTATACCGAATATGTCACTAATGGAGAGGGGACTGTGAGGGTACGTTTTGGAGCTTAACTACTGCCTCTGATGTTGTACATTTAGTGGATAATGCAGATTTAAAAGTTCATGTACAAAAGTTTGATGTTGGACATTGTTTGATGTAGTTAAGGCATAAACGCCAAATACCTTTTTAGAGACATTAAAGCCGTACAGCCATCTTATGCTATATGGAATCACGAGCCAAATTGGGAATCAGACACCGTTTTGTAGCTACTTACCGGCCTACTCTCTAACTCTAAACTTGTAAGAACGGGCCCGGGGCTACGTCCCCTCGTATACCCAATAGAAGTGGAACCTTTTAATTTCAACAAATTCTTCTAATGATTCTAAAGAAAAATGTGCAATATTTGAGGAAAACTTTGCCATATTGCGTGTTTTGATGTGTTGTATCGCAATGTTATGTGTCTGATGTTTCCCTGCATGTAAGGTCAGTTATGGCCGACGTGACCTGGGCTCAATGTCTTTTTTTCTTATTTGCAAAAAAAGAATGATTTTATATATTATTGTCTTGCAGGCTTTGATCTGACGTATAGAGAGTGTGACGACCCGGGCACTCCCAGCTACTCCTCTCGGGTGGTGGAAGGTTTTGGACCGGGCGACAAAATCACCTACACATGTGACCCTGGTTACACCATGCACGGTACCGCCACTATCACCTGCCTCACCGGCGTGAACAGGGTCTGGAGCAGCGCCCCTCCATCGTGCGTTGGTAAGTCCCATCACCCCTCCTTAAGCTTCGTGCGTTGGTAGCTCCCATCACCCCTCCTTCGTGCGTTGGTTGGTCCCATCATACTCTCCAAGCAGAGGCTCGGGTTTGGGGGTACTTTTGGCGTGTCTTTAGGCTTTTTCTATCGGGGTTTCTTCAGTTTGCACTGGAATTTTTTCCCAAAACCCATCTACTCTCCAAGCAGAGGTTTGGGTTTTGGGTTATTTTTGGCGTGTCTTTAGGCTTTTTTTCGGGGTTTCTTTTCTTGCACTGGAATTTTTCTTCACCCAACCCAACAAAAATTCCAGTGCAAAAAAAGCGAAACCCCAATAAAAAAAGCCAAAAGTCACGCCAAAAAATAACCCAAAACCCAAACTTCTGCTTGGAGAGTAGCCCCATCACCCCTCCTTCGTGCGTTGGTAGCTCCCATCACCCCTCCTTCGCGCCTTGGTAGCTCCCATCCCCCCTCATCCACTCCCCACCAATTGTACATCGCTTTTATCTCAGTTTATGATTGCTACACATTTTACCGTCGCCTTCTGACACACAAGAAAAGTGCTCGTAACACACAACTTTGATATCATCTGAATTGACCTTAGCCATTAAGAAGCCTTTTTGTTTGGAGTATATGGTTCGCTGGAGTGCTGGTCAGGCCATGGTAAAAAAAAGCTCTAAGAAGCCCGCATTACTGCGTTATTGCAGCCTTGCTGATAAAAGCCACTGATACCGCTTCCTTTTATGGGTATTAAAGCCTCTGGCGCGGGGTAAACCGGCGATAAGACGTAAAAACGCTGACTCAGCTAACATTCGCCCTTCCTCTACTATCCTGCTCATCGAAGATCGTTAACCTATACTCAAGGGAAAAGGCCACCCACCGTTTGACACAATTTTGCAGATGCTTTTCTCCTGAAACTTGAACTAACAAGCCTCCACCAGGCCTTTCTACGGGAATACGGATCGTAGAATTCGGCAAAAAAGAGAGTAAAATTGGCCAAGGGAGTCCGGCCGAGGGGAGGTAGTTTCTTTCCCTCAGAAGCGCGGCCAGTCAAACCTACAAGGCGGCAAAATTCCCCTGGCAAATATTCCCCTATATATAGCCAGCGTAGTTAGTCTGGTAGAGACTATGAACAAACTACGATTGCCGGTCTTGGAAAGTTGATAATTTGTCTTCTACGCCAAGAAAAAAAACAGTTGTTCAAGCAACTGGATATGATTTTTGAAACGGTCAGATGTTCCAGGTACCATCCACTACATTTTGTCAGTGACGTGTTTTTTATGCAAAATCATATCCAGTTGCTTGAGTAACTGTTTTGGCGCATCTTTAATTCTTCAATTACCTGGATGTCTAACCTTCACCGACGAATTTGTCTTCTAATATATTCATTAGTGATAAGACCACACCGACTTCAATTTTATGGATGACATCCACGCCCTTGTTCTAAAAAAAACAGATCACGTCCTCCGAGGCTCTGGCCTGGCTCTAGGCCTGGGTAGTCCATGGTAGTTAGCGACAATACTGAACCGGTGGTAACAATGGAGGATGACACCCAGGCTACCGAAGTTCCACGACTCAAGAACTCAGTACATACGTACAGTGCCGATTCATAAATTCCGCAAAAAGCCAGTATTTGCCTGCTTGCCGTATACCTCGCTATGTACTGGCGCAAATTCAGGATTGTAGCTTTGTATTCCTGTGGTTTAGTAGCATTTTTATTTTTGGCCGGAATTTTTTTTTCGCCCGCGCGCACTAGTTTGGGGGTCTTCAGAGGATGTCATCCATAAAATTAAGTCGGCGTGACCTAAACGTTCCGTAATACTGTTGCAAAGTATGGCGTTCCACGGAATCTACGGTGATGAACAAAGGGATCAAAATGAAACCCTTCCAATCCCTCATTTGCATATTCAGGACACCTTACTTAACACGACTTCCATATATGTAAAGATTGGACGTATGATGTATCATCATCGATTCGGGTCCTTTATTTCGAATAACGACCATGCTTACTGCACTTTGTATTCATAAACGATGATAGCCTTGGGATGAGTTGCCATGTTGGAAACATTTAATATATAAAGATGAATTTCGTTGTTTTGGTTGATTATTCCATATCATCATGAGAAAACATCTCTTGAAAATTCTATAATTATGAAAAATATAGCATGGTGTCTTGGCTTTTTACTGCAAGTTTTTTTGATAATCAAGATGCATTGTGCCTGACGATTTGCGTTTTGAGACGCGGCCATCCATCAAAAGACGACCCCCATTTCTGAGGATCACGTTATGGTATTGATACAGGCATGAACCCAAGTAATGCGGTCTTTGATGGATTGTTGAAACCGAGTAATGCAACAGGACTTATAGTATGCCATGATACATCTTACTTATTCCAGCTCGTTTTACCAAAGGGATGTAAGCATCGTTACAGGAAAATGGGCACCATCAATATTCACATGAAAACGCGATGAGGTACACATTTCTATCTTTAAAAGCCTCATTCCAAGTACAAATCTTCTGACGTTATCATAAAATTTATTGCAACAATAACAGACTACTCGCGCTCTCCTGCTTTTACATGTTGATTGCTCTATCTATATATATATATATCACATTTTATTAAGAGACTCAATACAAAAACGTACTGATGCTGCACACATAGTAAGAATATCGTACTTAGCTTTTGAAGTGAATTGTATGTCATTGGAGTGTTTACGGATAGTTTAAACCTCGGACTCCGTCCTACTGTTTCCCATGAATTCGTCCTCATCGAGCTCAATTTTGACTCCATCCACGCAGTCATCAAGGCAAGTCTCCTCCTCAGGTACATGTACTTCAGCGGATAACTCTGGAGGACCAGGGTCGTTGATTATTCCATTAATACACGATTCCTTGTTGTCATCTTCCCTGGAGGTTGCTCCGGAATCACCTTTGGCATTGTCCTGACCTTCGAATCGGATACTGGGCTGCCTACTGGGGCGCCTGTCGACGCTGAAGGTCGCCAGGGTTAGTACGGCCCTCTCCCTCGGCGACAGCGCCGCGTTCGCGATGTCGAAAAGGTCGAGTTCCTCCTCGATGCGGCGCGGTAATATCCTCCTTAGCATTCTGTTCCTGCAGACGTAGTGACAGTAGGAATACGCCACGTACACCAGCGCTATAGCCATTAGAGTCAGGAGAATGACTTCGATGACGACCCGGATGGAATGATATGGTCTCGGGCAGCAGTAATTGTTTGGCTCGAAGCCGCAGCAGTACTTGAATAGACTCGTGTGTGCGCGTGTAGGGCACTGGAACCTCACACGGGTCAAGTTGCCGCCCCCTACGGTCCCCACGCAAGTGTCTCCGCAAACGCCGCCGGTGAGAGGTAGGAGGAGGATGAAGGGCACGGGTGATGAGGAGAGCGGGAGCACCGCTGACAGGAACCCGCAGGCAGCAGCCAGCCGCGCGGCGGGGAGTGCGGGCATGTGCCTACCCCGTGATGTCCACGGAGAACTTGTCATGTCACACGAACATCAATCACCACATCCGCTCAATAATCCACGTACCGAGCGCGGGTATAAGACAGGTGTGACTTGGAATGCCGCTACATGCAAATGTTGCAACCTTGCTTGCACCCGAGCGCCTTTTCCCGCTGCCGAAGTCCTGAGCCACCGGGATGCAATGCAAATGAGAAACGAAATCCGACGTGAGGTCAGAAGAAATCAGGCAAATGCAGTAACAGTCACGCCGCGTGCATAAGAAATCAAGGGAAAGCTTTTGTTCTGACGTTTTTATCCGGAAACGCGAGACTACACTGCTAAGGTTTAAAGCTCAGAGGGCCGATGTAATTACACGCACTAAAATCCTCGGCCTGCCCCTCAGAGACGTTGAACAGAGTTCGGCTACATGAAAAGCCCGTGCCGGAGAGAGTTCATTACGTCCAAAGCAGTGAAGCGCTCGCAGCAGAAGCTGACGCGATATTCGGACCAACGTAAATCGTGGGTCGCGTGATACAGGCGGATTTGTGAAGATGTTTTACGTTGCGTAGACGCACACACAGATTGATGTGATAAAACGTGTAAGGCATATTCTCTGTGTATCATTAACTTCGCAGCGGCACATCGAGGGTGTCCTTAACCACTAGAGGCAGCCGAGTTAAGTCCTGTCGTCACCGGTGTAGCATGGGCATGATCCATGAGGACATGCAGGCTCCAAGGCGTGAAGGACTTCAGAAGATTCTCGGGGAAGTGACTCTTTCTTCTTCAGCAGTCTCCTCTGATAGGAGGAGGGGCGAACGCCGTCTGAAATCCAATGAGCAGGGATTTTCTCTCAGGACCTTAGTCAAATCCAGTAGCCTGAAGAACGGAATTGTATCATATCAATCAATTTCAATTCATTATCATTATTGTTGAAGAGGTTCATCAGCCACGTAGAATTAACAGTTTGTAGAAATTCTTCGTTCAGTGACAGTATTTTGTAAGGTAAATACAGTCACTGATCGAAGAATTTAAAAAAAAAACAGTCACTGATCGAAGAATTTCTACAAACTGTTTATCATTATTGTATCAACATCGCAGACATACATGTAATATTGCCTGAATGACATTGATATTTACAATATTGCAATAAACACAACATTACATTGCGTTACATACATCATACATAAAAAATATATACATACTTCTAATATGAACTGTACATCCCAGACATAACAAGTACGACTCGATATGATATATTTCTCCACTCGATGTACAAACATAAAGCAGCTACACACAGAACGGCTGCTTGTTTATAATTCTACTAAAGAACCTTGGCGGGTACTAACAAGATAAACCGCACCGACAGACTGGCCAGTACAACGCTCGCAGCACGGCTGGCAATGTTTCAGACAGCTCCCACGAGGTTCCCACTGATTCGAACAATCTACCGCCCTTTGATTCCATCTGTAGTTCACTAGTGACGCGGTTGTGTATCTAAGGCCATGTTGATTTGATTATATGGATGACATCCACGCGCGCATGAATTTTCGGCCGTTTCCAAAAAAAAAAGTTTTTAACCATACTGTAAATCGTGCAAAACAGTTGCTAAATGAGCAAAAATATACCATACATTAAGTTGCAAGGAAAACATTTAGAAACGATACCAATGTCGTAGAATGCCAAAAGCAAACGAAAAAAGACGAAATTGTAAAGAAATGAACTTGAAGACTAGATTATTCGCTAAATCATATTCTGTCCCATTTGTTCAACCCTCATGATCACGTAGATTTCATAATGAAAACAACTTTTTTTTTGCAAAACTTTTTTTTTTATTCGCACGCGCGCATCAGTTTTGGGGCTCCCGGAGGATGTCATCCATATAATCAAATCAACATGGCCTAATGGGTTTACAGAGCTGTGAATCAGCTGATGCAATATCAGACACGGGTTCTGCGCCTACTTTTACAGCCTTCGGCAGGCGTTAAATTTTTCAAAACCATAAAATTACATACTTTTCTTTGTTTATCATCAACATATTAATGCCAGTCAGTCTCAATAAAGTTCAAATACCATACACATTATTTTATTTTATTTATTTATTTTATTTATTTTTATTTATTTATTCAACTTCACAGAAATTAAAATTCTGAGAGGAGCCGGCAACAGGAACATAGAGTTCCTCTACTAGGCCGACTCCTCTAGAAACATAAAAACAAATCAAACAAACAAACAAGCAACAATTAAAAAGAGAAATCAAATCAAATCACTAAACAATTGTGGCATCTACAGGTAGTGGTCCAGGTACATAAGTTGTCGGTTGAAAATGTGTCATTTAGGCGAGATCTGTAGAACGAAATTAACAGTTTTTTAACAAAATTCAAACTAAAACTAAAGTTGGAGACAGATTCTATAGTTGGCTGCAAGTCTAGTTCTTGCATTAAAGGGTAGACAGGAGTGAACATAGGTCCGACTAGTTTAATTTGTAGATGTACATTTTTTGTGATTCGCACAATGTTGCAATTGCCTGAACAAACATACTACTATTGACTGCGATAAGAAAAAAAAGGCAAATTCTTACCACAAGCAGGCATCATCCCTGACTCTAGTTCAGGACACCATCACCAAGGCACAAGCCTAAAGTTGCACTCTGAAAATAAACGACCGCCCTTTTGCCACTTCCGGCATCAGATTCAATCGCACTCGTGTCAGCCGAGTGCATCACCAACAATCGAGGTGGCTCCAAACGCTTCGATCTTTCGCAGCAATAATTTACAAGAGACGTTAAACAGCAATACTACTGGTAATACTCCTAAGTCAGCGCCCTCCTGTAGGTAATCCGCTGGACAATCAGAAGAGTTACGATGTGCCGAGCTGCCCGCTGCCGTTACATCTGTTACAGAATTGTCTGGTGACCGTGCTTGGAACGTATTTCCCCATTAGTGACCGTAAGAGCGAATTCATCAGTACTGGATCTGGGTTTCATCACTGCATAGACGTTACAAACCAGTGTCTCCAGTTATCTGTGAGACAAGACTGCGTGCACTTGTAGTGTAACGTCGACCACCTCGCCGATATTGTGGATATGAAGGCGTTGCCTCGCGGTTATATCTCACGATTTACTGTGACCAGCGCGTCTCTGAGTGTTTCTATTTTCGCTGGCAGCTACTGTCGGCGCACCGTGCATAATAAATCCAGTCGTTCACACTTTCGCGTTCCTGGCAACATGCACTTCGGGTGTTATTGACGAACTGATGCAGCTTTGATGTAGTTTCCCTCTGATGCTTGATATAATTTGTTGATTTGTTTATTAGAATTCACCACAAGTACAAACACGCAAGTGGAAGGGAGGACAAAACAGGTGTATTGACACCTTTACAAGTTGTCCTCCCAAACACAACAATATAAATACAGTGCAATACAAATTACAAAGTCGAACAATTGTTGACATGCAAAACAAATTCCCACAATAACATACAATAGTCATAAAAATGCAATACAATACACTGCCATAAAATATCATCCATTATATACAATTGTAAAAATATCCAAAACTAGTAAGAATACTAATGAGGCCTTAAAGCTGTAATCTTACGTGATGGGATGTTGTCAATTTCCCTGCACTAGCATTGAGACACTTTATGATTAGATAGAATCTAATGCGACTTGATAAACCTTCAATCGAAAAATATATTTGTTCCTTTATCTCTATTATAACGATAGCTAGTTTTTTTGTATATATGTTTTCGTCATGATTTGTTTTGACCTGAACTTGCCCAGTGTGGCATAAATGTGCAGTAAAGGTCGTCATTCATTAATATATTCTCTGGTAGTTCCTAAGATTTTTACGTTATTCTTTTATCCTTATATCCTATGTAGTATGTTACTCAGTATGATGTACATGTATAATCACACTCCGATGTATGCATTTAGCCCCACGGGCATGAACATGCAAATAAAGATTCATTATGATTTCTGTGTTTTCATGCATTCTTCAATGATGCATATTTTGTACTCTCACTATTCATTCAATAAAGATTCATTATGATTTCTGTGTTTTCATGCATTCTTCAATGATGCATATTTTGTACTCTCCAAGCAGAGGTTGATGGTAGAAGATCGTTTGCTTTTTATATATGGCCTTTTTTGTCGCTACCAACACCAACGTTGGTTACAGACTGGTCAATTTGATAATGTCTTACCCCCACCAAAAGATCTGCTTGGAGATTATATTTTGTAGGTAAGAATACGCTGTGACTGCTTTTTTTTGTCTGGGTCTATACATTCTTGAGTTTCAAATTGAAATCGTTGTAAGTCTATGAATATTTAACGCGCCTTGCCTACGCGACACAGCGGGAATTAGAGGGAGAAGTAATAACATCCCAGGAGGTGGAATCGAACCCTGCACCTCTGATCATTAACACATATTGCTAGCCATATTTTTTCACGTTTGGCATATTACTGGATGTTTCCTGGTGCAGCACTGTTGTTGCAAAATGGTCTGTTTTTTCCTCGAAGAATTGAGCATCGCCAACGCAATTTCGGTGACTTAATTAAGAATTACGCATTCCGTGCAAGGTTCGCCGTAGGAAGATGGATTCATAACCTTATTTACTTGCCATGAAAGTCCTTGAAATTCATTTAGTCATTCCTGGAAAGCCGCTTTTAATGAATTTTCTGCTGGTTCGTATCTTCCAGCAAGACGCCAACAGGTTAGCGATAAGACCAAACAAATTCAGTTTCTTCTTCTTCGTCAAAAACATAATTTCAAGAGACGCAGAATTTAATTTGTCCTGTTAGTCTGTACTACAAGCTACAATAATTTATATAAGGTACAATATAGAATATATAATTTTTAATCTATTGGTCACATTTGTCATAAGTCCTCAGAATTTACACGTGATCATTGTGTGAAAACTTCAAATCATTGGATTCTTTTTTTGCTAATTTATCGTGTGCAAGTGGTAGCGTTGAAATAAGTCTTAGATACTTGAGTGCGCTACCACGTTGTGTTGTACTATGTCATTTTTTATTATGTGCTATAGTGAGCAATATCCACTTGATTGTACATACATTGTTATACTGTGGGAACAATAAAAAAAAAACTTACAAATGGCGCTCACTTACAAAAATGGATCGTTGCTTTGAAGCCCAGAAGCAGAGATGTGAGTTGTGAGGAAGTATGGCGAGGTAATCCTCGCTGAAGTAACTAGCGCTACGTGAGAAACGTTACTGCGGCGTATTTAGTGATAACCCCTGCAGAAACCAATGATGAACGAGCGGGATTCCAGCTCCATCATTCACATGGCTGCCTCTCGCAGCGGCAATATGTACATGTACAGCCATCGGACTTGATTTAGTTGTAAGGCCACACCGACTTAATTTTATACATGACATCCACGCGCGCATTGATTTTAGCCTATCCTAAAAAAAAAAAAGATCACGTCCTCCGAGGCTCTGGCCTGGCTCTAGGCCTGGGTAGTCCATGGTAGTTAGCGACAATACGGAGCCGGGAACCCAGGCTACCGAAGCTCCACGACTCAAGAACTCAGTACATACGTACAGGGCCGATTCATAAATTCCACAAAAAGCCAGCATGTGCCGGCTTGTCGTGTACGTCGCGATGTACTGCTGGTAATTCACAATACCAGCTTCGTATTCCTGTAGTTTAGTAGCATTTTTATTTTTGGCCGAATTTTTTTTTACTCGCCCGCGCGCACTAGTTTTGGGGGTCTTCAGAGGATGTCATCCATAAAATTAAGACGATGTGGCCTAACGGCCACTTGTACTGTCTCGTGGGCCTCACGGCTAAGCCATGCGGCATATTAGAGGACATGAAATCCCTCTGATATTCTTCAGCTGGTCCATATGACTTGACAGTAAGGCACTTGTCTTCCTGTATCAAATCAACCTTTGCCTTCAATTACTGTGAAGAGAAGCACTGCCGCCGTCGGCTGATGGAGCGCTAGCGTAGGTGGCAAGTGAACTTCAATAGAGACCTAGTTGGGATGGATGAGGTTGAAGCATTTCAAGCGCGATTGTGTAATTCCCTGAGTGTGTGTGGCTATAACTGTAGTTGTCTGGACATCTAGAGACAGAATCTACCTATCTCCTGAGATCTGTGTGGGCGGAGATGCTTGAATAAGACGTTTTTATCAAGACTTGAGTGTAGTCAATGTCCACTGCGACTTAGGCCACAGCAAGTAATTTCTATGGATGATATCAGTACGCGCATTAATTTTCGCCTGATTTTGGAAAAAAGAAAACAATTTTTCTGCCCTCTGGCAATGGTCAACATGCCGAAAATAGACAAAGATGTCTGTTGCCATGCCGGAACCTGGATGGTAGATAAATATGAAGAGAGGAGGCAAGACAAGGCTCTGATTTAATGTTTTGTCTTCTACTTTGATGCAGTGATGTATTTCATTCCTTTTATATGTGATGATGGCTGTGTGTATGTGATGCTCCCACTGAATTTGTGAAATTCTATTTTTCATAAAAATTCAAGTTGTTCAGCGAGAAAGTTGGCAGTAAACTTAGCCCAATATAGGTATCATTTCTTGTTCAACAAGGTTTATGATATCAAAATTTGAAAATGTAGAAATCTTTTTGGGAGGGGTGGCCTTGTTTTTTTTTTTGCCCCATCGCATCAGATTTGAAGTCTGCGGAGGATGTCATCCATAAAATTTACTTTCTGTGGCCTTACATACGCAACGAGGAGGTCCACAGTACTAGTGTGTAGTGTATTCCGCTCACGTTGATAACGTCACATAGGATACACCAGTGGGGAGTCTATACTACAGATCAACGAAGCGTAATATACCTCCTCGTGCCGTCTATATGAGGCCGAAATGTGGAATTCTTTGTCCGTAGCGAGATGTGGGGTCTTACGACAAATACAAGAGGCATTGTGTTTTCATGAATTGTTCTTCAACTACATGTATAGTGATTAAAATTCGTCACAAAGATGCACTGGCTTAGACGTTACCAGTGAGACCTTATCCAATGCATACTTAATGTTAGAATTAAGTACGAAGGCCATATAAACAACTGATCAATAAAAAAAATCAAAATGACTTGCCGACGGATATGTCTGAATTGAGGAGAATTAGAAGATTAGACCCTTGTATTTTTCAGCATTCTCTAATTTCCAAAACGATGTAGAGGATAACGTCCGTAGACATAGTCAGACATCAGTAACTAGCTGTTGCCCGTGGTCACTCGTATTCCGAAGTTCAAGTCATTAATGTGACAGAACGCAATTATAAGGACATGACATCCCTTTTAGCGCACGGCTAATGCTGTGTGCTGATGGGAGGTTGATCATCGTAGACGACGCGGCAACCATGAAGGTCACCCTGCGCGATGTATAGGCCTGTCTCAGGACATGAACGCTGCTAGCGATGTGTGAAATTACTTTGATGTTCTTCGCCCATCCTTCACTGAGAAACTGGGCTGGCGCACTATTGGTTTATACGTCAAACCTGCGTCTATTGGGGATAAAACTTGCGATGTGTTACAGCTTTGGCAGACAATTCTAAGTAAGCAGTTAAGCCTAGGTTTTTGGTTAGATACATGTATGTGAGAACGTTGCCTGTGGGTCTGTCATTGATTGAGCATTAGGCCATGTTGATTTGATTATATAGATGACATCCGCGCGCGCATGAATTTTCGGCCGTTTCCAAAAAAAAAAAGTTTCCAACCACACTGTAAATTGTACAAAACAGTTGCAAAATGAGCAAATATATACCGAAAGTTGCAAAAAAAATATTTGAAAACGATTCCAACGTCGTAGAATGCCAAAATCAAACAAAGAACTAAAATGCAAAGAAATGAATTTAAAGAGTAGATTATTCGCCATACCATACTCTGTGTCATTTGTTCGACCTTCATGAAAGAAACTTTTTTTTTGCAAAACTTTTTTTTATTCGCGCGCTCGCATCAGTTTTGGGTTTCCCAGCGGATGTCATCCATATAATCAAATCAACATGGCCTTATCGTCTATCCTTTCTTGTGTTGACAATGCGAGAAGTAACATTTCTCCTCGTTGGTGAAGGTTAGACATCCAGGTAATGATGAAGAGTAGTGGATGTTTTTTTAAACGTCTGGCAGTTGTGTATCTTATTACCTGGATGTCTAACCTTCAGCGACGAGGAGAAATGTTGTTACCTCGCACACAGTAATTGTTCACACCAGAAAGGATAGTTTGATAATTTGATTAACAATTTCCTTCTGTTGAACATTACAGCTGAGTGTGGCAGTGACTGGACGGCTCCCACCGGTGCAGTGTTGTCCCCAAACTACCCGAGGTCCTACCCGAACAACCAGAACTGTTACTACACCATCACTGTCAGCCCGGGATCCTTCATCCAACTCACTGTCAGGGCCTTCTACACAGGCAGCAGCAGTGGCGACTATCTGGAGGTGACTGTTTTTTTTACACGTTAGCAAAACCCATGTATCAAATAGCACCTCAGGCGTCTGGTTGACATATATGTATGGGCATGTGGAGTCGTGGGGTCGTGTGGCGTGACCCGGGACCTCAGAACCAAGAGGTCCCGGGTACGAATCCTGCCATGCCGATCTTGTGTCCTTGGAAAAGGCACTTTCCTCATTTACTCTATCTGGTGTAAATGAGTATTGTGTTTGTGTATATGCAATGGTTAGGGTTAGGGTTAGAGTTAGGGCATAAAAATAAGTTGAGTATGCCGACACCATGCCTTGTCTTTAGAAAAGCAATATAAAAAAATTTAAAATGTTGCAATATAGAAAAAATGAGGAAACTATGTAATTTGAACTCGTTCTATCGTCCATCTCAAAATGATCTTCCTGTATACATGGGAAGTGTTGTTGCTACAAAAGAGAGAGCTTGACGGAAATCCACAGAATTCTGTAATGCCTAACTGATTGAATGGTCTGCCACTGTGCCCTAGACTCCCCTAACTGTACATATTTTGAAAGCGATCCAACTTGAGGAATATACCACATTGTTAGGCACTGCGCGCATGAGATCAATGAAGCTTACTTGATAATATACCCGACGTTATGTCATGAAAAGGCTTTCAAAATAAGATACTTAGCCTACTAATTGTATATGTATATGTATATGTATAATTTATTAGCTATATACAGTTTAAAGCGCTTCAGCCGATGGAATGTAACACATTTCTAAAAGTCTGTCAAAATAGTACATCTGATTACTAGGTGCGGTCGTGTGGCGTAACGGCAGAGCGCTAGACTCGGAACCAAAAGGTCCCGAGTTCGAGTCCTGACATGCCACCGATTATGTGCCCTTGGGAAACACGACTTTCCTCACTTAATTCAAGAGAAAATGAATATTGTCCTGTGCAGTATTTGTGTCTCTGTGTGGGACACAACATTTCTAAAAGTCTTTCAAAATAGTACATCTGATTACTAGGTGTGGTCGTGCGACGTAACGGCAGAGCGCTCGACTCGGGTTCGAGTCCTGACATGCCACCGATCCTGTGCCCTTGGGAAAGGCACTTAACACGACTTTTCCCACTTAATTCAAGTCAAAAATGAGTATTGTCCTGTCCAATATTTGTGTCTCTATGTGGGACACAACACCAGCAACAGCTGCCTGTGGCTGTGTCCCACGTGTATTGTATTGGAACAATTTCAATAAATCAAATCAAATCAATAAATTACTGACGCCAATTTTACAGTTTTGCCCGTACCTATATGTTCTTTCCTATATTTAGGAATGTAGGGACATCTGTTTTGCCTCTTGAGTCTCTGGTAAAGGTTTCTAAATGCTGTAAAGCCGGAGCACAGACGAATTCGTGAAACAATATTCACCAAACAAAAAAGACAACGTTATGTAATTCTCCACCTGTCAGGGCCTTCTACACAGAAAGCAGCGCATTTCAAACAAGATAATCCATCTAAGCCTTCTCGAGTTATGCTATTGACAAACACACACACACACGCGTACACACACACACACGCACACACACACACACACACACACACACACACACACGCACGCACGCACGCACACACACACAAACGAAAACATTACCTCATTGGCCAAGGTAATTATTGTTTGTACACCCCTAATGTATCATGTTGAGCTCATGTCTGTCTTGCAGATCCGTGATGGTGGGACCGAAAGTGCGACCCGGATTGGTCGGTACAGCGGCTCACAACTGTCTACAGGCGACATCATCAAAAGCACTTCGTACCAGCTGTGGTTCAAATTTCACTCCGATTCCTCATCTGGTTACAGTGGGTACCGCATCGATTATACCGGTCAGTGTTTCTTGAGTTTCAGTATTTTTTTTGCTCATTGGTCACCACGAAACAAGACCGGAAGACCACTTCAATGTATGTGTGACCCGAAGGCCACTCCAAGGTTACAGGTTACATGTATCAAGCTGTTATAGCATATCTTCTATTTAAGTCAGAAAGATCACGATTAAGACAAGCTCGACTCACTTGTGGAGAACTAAATCACCCATTAGGAGAAGCAGGGGTTGCGAATACTGCATTTTACATGTAAGGATACATGTAAATCTTCGTCATACTCGCCATCCGTTCAGATAGATGTTCGAAAATCTACTAGGGGAGCAAAAACATCAACAAGGTTCAAGATTTTGATGATTTAAATGTCCACCTTCTATATATATATATA